CAGTGTTGGTCGTAGTGGGTTAAGCGGTACTCTTCTTCGCAGACAAGCAAAATTCTTCTTCCCCTGAAACAATCAGAACCCGGGACACTCTCAAAACCCAAAGACGATCCGACTATCCTACAAAGATTGAGGCAGGATACTCTGATCATTAAGGCCCTCTGTTTTGCACTTTTAATTGCGAGGGAAGAGGTCGCTCGCAAAACCCAATCTGAGGGACTTCAGACCTTGAGGAGTTCAAGCTTCAAGGCCTGTAAAAGCAGGGTGCCATGGAAAGGCGCTTAAGGTTGATGGTTCGACGGCCCTGGGCTTTAAGTGTTCGAGCTTCAGGGCTTTTCAACCAGCCTGCAATGAAGGGCTGTCAGGTTGACGTAGGCCAGGTGTTACATAAAAGGCATTAATCGGCTTTAAGAGTTCACACTTCGGGGCACCCCAATAATAACACCCTACCTGGGTAGCGCTCTTTGACAGAGGGATAAAACAAGTATACTCCTGCAGTCTACATAAAGGTCTTGCAGTTGGCCTGGTTCCTTATATGGGACCTTTAAGCACTACCTCGCCCTGCAATATAGGGCCGTGGGCAAGTAGAACAGACAAGTATAAGGGAGTACCACCGCTACTCAGACTCTTAGAACCCTTATGAAACTCGTAGTGCCCCCCCCCCCCCCCCCCCCNNGCCCCCCCCCCCCCCCCGCCCCGAAATAGCAAAGTAAGCCCCGGGCTCCAAAGGCTGTGGCCCTGCAATCGGAAAGCAACGCCACGGCGCGGCTCCCTGAGCTCTACGGGGTTTCTCTTGCTTTCTACAAGTGGTCTGTAGGGCTGCTTGCTGGGGATTCACCTAGAGGTCCAAATAACTAGTCATAGTAGGTCCTTGTAGTTCCATATAACATGCTCGTCGTATCCGGCTTGGTTAGGGCTACTTAGGATTGGCATAAAGGTGAGCGTCCATTCGGGTCTGCTTTTGGGGAGAGATCTTGCAATTGGCTTTCCAGGAAACGGAGGTTAACCTTTCAGATTGTGTCTACGGGTCCATTGCAGCGCAATCAGACTTTCGGAAACCAGAAAAAAAGGAGAATTCACGGTGTAGGGATGGGGTCGTAGGCTGCAGGCAGAGGGGATAGGGAGACGAATTTCACTCGCCAGGTGGGTTAAAACCTTTATTTAGCCGGGGCAGACGGACTGTGGTGAAGGGATCGTGGGGACCTGCGGCATTGCGGCGCGCATCGTCTGGAGGTTCCAAATTTTTACTCGGCCCGGAATCGGTCGTAGTTTGCTTCATCGACTACGGAGTAACGCCCGGCTGCTGCAGTCACATGATGGGAGAGTGACTAGAAAATCCCTTGCGAACCCTAAACTCGGAACTCTCAATCTCACATCCTCTCGAAACCAATACTTTTGTCATGCGTAAGCCTCAACAGCAAGAAACCCTGTCATCTGAAATCCCAAATCAAAACGCCCAAAACCTATAACCGGGGTGCCGAAACCAAAGATATCTTCGCTCTACGTCCAGCTCCACCCACTCTCGGCTGCATTGGCCAAGAACGTATCCTGGCTTCGCAGGAACCCCGTGACTCTTTTTGCTTTAGGGTTTGGGGATCTTTGTGGGCTTAGGGATATGACATGGGAGCACCTAGGGAGCTTAATTTAGAAGCCACAAAACGGATTGGGGATTCCCGGCATAGCGTGGGGTTGGTGGTTAAGGCTACGGCTTCGGCATCCATATACGCCAACACCCCACACCTGCAGACACGAAGTGCTTTAGGAGAGGGGGGAACATCTACAGTTCATGAGATTGAAAAGCAATATGCTGTATCCGGCAAGTCAATCTTCCTTTTGGTAGTTCGGTGGTGACTGATCCTGGATGTTGTTCCGAACGAACCATCTATCAACACCCGAGATTGGCGAAGGCAGACCAAGGCACTGATTTGATGGGCGACTCCGTATCGAGGATCGTGCTCTGCCTCTGTTTCAGCGCGTGTGATGACTTGCCTTCGCGTCTAATCACATGGAGCTGGTTCAATTACTCGACAGCAGACGCACTACTACGGTTATCACCTTGAAACGCCAGTTTGAGTAACCTCACCAAAATATCGCACAGGCCTAGGACAGCTGCGAAGTGAAGTCTTGCTGTCGAGTACGCTTGGAGGATGCGGGAATTGGTCTGTCTTCCCGCACCATGGTCTGTACTCTAGAGCAGCTTCAAAGCAAACTTGTCTGCGTTGAGACGAAGACCGGAAATCTCCCCATATGAATTTGCGGCTTTGGGCTTCGGATAGTCAACACAGCGAGTCGTACTGCATTCGCGCAGGGCATCCCAAACGCGACGAGCACTCCTGTAGATTGCCTGGCACCGCACGCCTGAACCTTAAAAGGCAGCTGCATGCTTCATATATGACCTTGCCAGGCCGCACGACATGTTGCGGTCACCATCGCCAAGTATCGAATCCTTGCATCGACCATGAACTGTGCCAGCTTAGGTCGCCAAGAAGTGAGCCTAGCACTCCCTTCCCTGAAGTCCCAACTGCCCCTCTCCAGGAGCCCCCGAGGCTCCCACTGTGGCAAGACGATTGGCACTAAGGCCGGAGAACGAGTCTCACCCCAAGTGTGGGAAAGGCGGAGGCGCAGGCACGACGGAGTTGGACACGCGAATTCCAGCCACGACCGTCGCCTCGATGACTGCGACTGCTACCGCGCGACGGTGACGGCGACGACGACGACGACGGCGACGACGACTGCCACTGCCACTGCTACTGCTACTGCTACTGCTGCTGCGACGGTTACTGCTACTGCTGTTACTGCTGCTGCTGCTGCTGCTGCTGCTGCAACAACAACAACACCTGCTGCTGCTGCTAGTGCTGCTATACCTACAACTTGCTACTGCTACTGCCGCTGCCGCTCCTGCTCCTGCCCTGCCCCTGCCCCTGCCCCTGCTGCTGCTGCTGTTGCTGCTGCTGCTGCTATTGCTACTGCTACTGCTACTGCTACTGCTGATGCTACTGCTACGACGACGACGACGGGGACGAGAACCAGGACGAGGACGAGCAGACCCCGACTGCTACGAATACAACTGCCACAACTGCGACTGCAACTGCCACTGCAACGGCGCCTACGACGAGGCAGCACTAGCACGGCCGCCTTTGTCACGACCACCCGCAACAACAGCAGAACAACCTTCAAGCACTGCAACAGATAATAAGCATTCAAGATCGAGCCACAGGTATACACAGAAACAGATGACACAGAACCGGGCTACTTGCTGGCTTCTTGAAGCTGCGGGTCCCTCATTGGAAGTCCTTACACAAAGGATCCTACTACTTTTTGGGTCTCTTTCTACCGGCTACCGAAAGCGCTCAAGAGACGCCGAGGTTCCCCGCGGCCTCGAAGGCAATCCCAGTCCCCGGTGGCAACTCCTTCTGGCTGGCCCCCGCATAAGCACCGCCCATGCATGCGGCCCTAAGAAACCATGGCGACTCGGAAAACCTTGTCACTCACAAGAAGAGCAGCCCATGTCTGTTTCTGAGGGAAGACTTTGACGAGTACCACCACGCTGGTAACATGCATGCTGCATGATGCATGGACACACCACCAGGGACCAGAACCGTTAACAAATCAACATCCTTACGACAAGAGTCTTACTGGGGCTTGGGACTCGGGCGAGTCAAGCGGGCTCTGCTTTGAGGCGAAGCTTTCCTAAACCCTAAACAGTTGAAGCTGTCGCTTGGTGATGGGATATGGGGGCTTCGCCAGACTGGCAGCCGACTTCACTGGAGACTACTTCTCTGAATGGAGCCCAGCTACATTTTTCAACAAACCGCTCGCCCACACAAAAAGAGTAAGACCCACACCCCGAGCCCCTTAAAACGGGGAATTGTCTTTCAGAAAACCCCCTTTTAGGGGTTCCCACTGTCCGGCGACTTGGTCCGAAACGTTTCCACGGCAAGGGTTGTTTAGAACCAAGGGTCTACCGGGGTCTAGTGGGGTTCAAAGTGTTTGGTGAACCAGTTCTGGTTGTAACGGCCTATGCCAGCAACACCCGAGGCCCCTTGGACAGTCAGTGCCCTGCAAACAATCTAAACTCCGCACACACCCTGGCCAAAACATGCTTACACCTTGTCTCTATGTCCCAAATCCCAAGCCTAAACCTCAAGCCTCAAATTTAAGCTCTGTCCCTACAGCCTAAATCCTCCCAAAGCCCCAACAGTATGCCCCACGATGCACGGCGCCAACAGACCTCACCGACCATCTGGACACCCTCTAATATAAAGGCTTTAATGATCATTTCAATCGGGTTTTGAAGTATATTATGGTATAAGTGTATAGGGACGCCAAGGGGGTAGTCTAGTAAATGAAGCTTTTCACAAAACGAGTCCTTGTTTGGTGTTGTTTGCAGGGAGGGGACGACGTTCAGGGTTCCTAGAGAATGCCTCCGCAACCGTAAAGCCTTCCAAACTGTAAATCGACAATCCCAAGTAAGCCCCGTCCTAAATGTTAACACTATAAAACCTCAGCCCCGGATGGGTCGGGACTTTTGGAAATAGGGCACTGCCATGAAGCTCACTCACGAGGCCCAGTGGAAAAAAACAACCAAATTGCAGCTGCAATGGTTCCATGGCTTGGAGTTTGTTGGTCTCCTCTAGGCTTGTCCTGCCCGCTGATGCTGCTGTTGGGTCGTTAGGGCTCTTGTTGGTCCCGTTGTTCAGGGGAAGGACAGAGTACTTAGAGTTTGGACTTGAGGGGTTGCTACACTCTGTAATCTTATGAAGGAACTCTGAGGATTGCTTTCTTTCCATGTTCCACCACGCCTGCAGGGCAGGATGGCGGCTAAGTCCTTCGGTGCGTTTGCACTCCGGGGGTCAAGGTCCGTAAAGCTTAAACGAAAACACACTCATGAGCAATAAGCAACCCTCCTAAGACTTTCACAAAAAGCGATAAGAACCCAAGGCTCAGCAAGAGAAAGACAGGATTTGGTGGGGCTTCGTAGAGCCTGAGCCCTCCTGAGCCACCCGCCCGGAGTAGCCGCTGAACTCGTCGTAGTTGGAATCTCCGAGGTCAGCCTTGTCATCGTCGCGGTCCACCTGAGAATCAAGGTGGACTATGTTGTAGAGTACAAGTTGTTGTCGCACAAAAACATGTACAGCAACATATCGTAGAATGTAGCCTCAGAGCGGCTGCAGCGCCAAGAAGCTCCCTTCCGTTTGAACCCCGACTTACCAGCTACTTATTAAGTCCCTTTGCTCCCTCTCCCTTATCACCCTCTAAAACCCTATTTGCTAAATCCATCATTATATGGGGCTTTCCGAAAATAGGGGACCCTAATATAGTACCCTAAATAATAGTAGGATCCTTACTATATGGACCCCAAAATAAGGTACCCCCTATTTTCGGAAACTCCCATATCCTACCGTAAAGAAAGATCACCCAAAGAAGCAAGGAAGCGCCTCGTCTCGACTGACGCCACCGATGAAACCGGTGGCTCCACGGCCTCGTCCCGGCACGTACCTGCCCAACTCTCCATGGCTTTTGAAATAACCGGGGCGCACAACCAGCAGAGGCTTTTGTGTGATAATGCTTCCTCTGAGGAACACGTCCAAACAATAAGTAATAGGTATGGTACTCCAGAACCCAGCCCTAAAAATTACGAAAAGGGTTTTAGGCTTGAGATCCAGGGCTGAAAATACGGCGCTCAGGGCGCTGGAGGTTTAGGAGTGAGGGCTGCGAGCCTGTATGGCCAGCCTGTTTCTAGGGGTGCAGCGTTTCAAGTTTACCCCCAACGCCGATATCTTAAGCAGTTCAGAATGGTCTAGCATGCATGGTACAGCGACCCCTCAAACCAGACACCGGAATTGTAGGCATGTCCGACGAACGTCAACCAAGCACCTTTGCACAAAACACAGAAAAAAAAGCACCTTCCATCAGTCTGTCTAACCACGCCACGGCACCCAGGTGGCGCATTACCGAACATCGCGTCGGTTCCGCGCTTCGTGGGGACGGCAGTCTTGGCAACCATGAAGATTTTTCGGGTTTCGGAAAGTCTTATCCTGAAATCCCGAACCCCTCGTCACACCGCGACCCTTGATCCCGAAACCGTCATGCTGCGAAGCCTGGGGAGGCGTCTGGAATAGATCACTAGTTTGTTTCTCCGAAGATGAAGTCTCGGTGACGCCCGTTAGGGCCGCCAAGCTCTACAGTTTTACTTCTGAGGGCGGGGGTTTTAAGGTTCAAGATCTATGGTTCGTTAAGGCTTTGTACACGTGTGATCTCCTACAGCTGCTTTCTTAAATCCTTGGCTTATGCTGTCCTTTAAACGTTCACGGCCAGGCGCCTTTCGTGGAGTGCATAGGCACAGGCTCATGTGAGTGTCCCATGCCAAACAATGGACCGCCTGCAAGTAGCGGCTCAGACTACCTTTGTAGTCATGAAGCAAGAACGTACGGCTCCATGCTGAAACTCCATGATGGAATCAGAGGCTCTTTGGACTCTTGCCAAACCCTGGATACCCCGAACCCTACAAACCCCTAAACCGCGCTCAACCCTGTGCTCAGGATCTTTGGGCATCCCGTCGTGCATTCCCATGTCGGCTCGGGTCTGCATCGGGATCTTGGCGCCGCGGCCTCGGCAATTGAATTCTCTGGGGCGGTGTACTGTTTCTGACAGAGGTTTCCCTGAAGAAAGACAGGCAACCCCCCTCCTGCAGGGCTTTTTGATTTGATGGACAAACTCCCGCGTTACTCTTGGTCACCCTATCGGTTCTGGTTCCCTGCTGGGGCCATATTAGAACTGATCATTTTTAATCCTTATTAGGGTTTCTTGTCATAACAAAAATGTAACATTGTATCTAGCGAGGACCCAGGGTTAAGGGAGGCAAGGTAGATTCCTGGAACTCACACCCTGGTTTCAAGAGCTTCAGTTCGCATGGGGTGGCCGGAACTTTTGAAAGGACGTGATTGGGTTGTATGAGGTTTCCGGGTTTTTTACGAGACTTTATGAAGGGTTTATGAAGTTCGATCTGGGGCTTCATCCAAGTTAGAGGGGAGATGCTTGTGAAGCTCAGGATGTTCGGGCTTAGGGCTGCCATCTTCGGCGGAGCCTCGGCTTTCATCTCCTGCAGCACGAAGCACTTCAATGGGAAGCTATATCGACTGCAGCGTCTCTAGCTGCTTCCTGCGCTAGGCCAGGGCCTATCTGAACTGGACACTTCATCCGAAATCAACACTCTTGGATCCCCCGAAGGCGAGCAGATAACGGGAGTTAGGTAGTTAGGTCAGTCCCCTTAGAGCCATGGCAGCTAACTCGCTTGTTAAGGCCTTTATAGAGGTTGGGATTTGGGGTTGATCCTCCACCTCAGACCCGCAACGCCCCGTGAATCTCTGAAACAAGCCCATATTGTCTTCTTCAAAACCACATAGAAAACCAAGAAAAGATCCTCAACGAATAATCCTTATCAAGGGTCAGCTTCTGAAGCACTAAGAATCCGTTTATAAACCCTGATTCCACGCAAATCAAGACCCCTTCAAAATTATGTGAGACTCCGAAGCCCTGAAACCCAAAAGGCCTGACGCCCGCTGGGCCCCCGCCGATTCCTCCGGCATAGCCCGCTGGTGCCATGGACTCATCGAGCTTTAGCCTCTTTGTGGGCGCCTCGGCTTTCGGGGAGTCCCGGGGTCCCCGCTTTCTTCGCTTTGCTGTCTTGCTTTCTGGGTTTAGGGTCTGGCTTTCTTTCGGGTTTGGGGGAGGGCAAAAGGAAATCGTAGGGTTGCTGGCTGTGGGGTTATTGGTTCTTGGGTTCGCTGCCTCAACAGGGTTTGAGGCCGAAGGGGTTGGGCTGTCCATGCTTAGCTTTCTTTGTTTTGTGAGGAATTTAGCTCAAGCCTTGCGGCTTGTGCCCTATGTCTGTCTGCAGCGCTAAGGAAACTTCGTGGGAGGCAGTGGGTCCACAAGTGCATGTGAAGGAGCCTGTGAGACTCACCACCGGTCTGCACCAACAAGGGATGCGGACCACGCTGCATGCCGAACATAGACCCAGCCAGTGGCTAGCCCTAGAACACTCCGATGGAACGTTTTTTGATGGAGTCTCTGTATCTGAAGACCTGGTCTACTCGAAGGACAGCTGACGCCTAGTCGAAGGCAATGCGCTGTGCTGCAACAACCTTTGTCCGAAGACAAATCCGCATTCGGGGATGAACTTTATTTACGACCTTTGGTGCTATAGGGCATACAGGGACTCTTGACGAGATGGTGGATCTGTTTAACTTCAAGACAACAATAAGATCTTCGGGTTTACCGTAGCTTGTTAAATGACAGGGGGCCTTAACAACAACGAGCATCAGGGTGCCGTAGCCGGAGGGCTATACTATCTCTCACATACAAGCTTCATCAGTAGGGAATGATTTAGGCAGGCTGCCAAACCCCTCTGTCTTTTGCACATGTCGGATAGAGCCGATTGCCGAACCACCTTCGTGCCCGAGTTTAGAGGGCGCATTGGCTAGTTTAGGGCGACGAGCTGCCTGCCCCGGTAAAAGCGACATCGTGGCAGCGAGGACCTTGCAAGAAGAGGAGCTTCAGGGTTCAGGGTTTGGGGTCAGAGGTTCAGGATTTGAGGCAGCAGTCGAGCGGGAGGCTGATATCCCTGAAGGTAAAGAGTGCCTTACTTATACTTATACGACTTCTTCTTTTCCAAAGCTCGAAAGCAGGAATCCCCAACCCTACCCCCCCCCGCNNCCCCCCCCCCCCCCCCCCCACCCCTGAGCCCCCTAGCCCAGAAGTCAATGCTCACTCCCATTCGCCTGAGCTGCCATTCTGGAAAAACCCTACAGGCGCCTAGAAGAAAGCACTGAGACCCAAAGAAGTGCGGGGTGCTCAGGGCTGATGGGAGCCCCTCGGACTTTCGATGAACAACTCCACCCGGCTTTTCGCATTTTTTCGCACGCTAACTGGTTCTACCCATAACTTGGCCTTACCTCATGTATGTATGCATGTATGTATGAATACATGTATCCCAAGTCCAGATCAGTCATCTTCGCACCTGCAAATGGGCATTCTTTTTTCGAGAGCGCGCCTCATGGTATGCAAGCTGGAAGAGAGTGATGTCGACACACTGCAAGTCCGTTGTACATGCATCCAATGTCTGATCTCTCAGTGCACACGAGAGGTCTAAGTATTATTTCAGAAGGAGCTTGTCTAGCTGGCAACGTGTGAGCATGAGGACATAGCCATGCTTACATCCATGTTTGTCTCCCACCGGCCAGACGCTGAAGCCGCCTAGGCCGTAGATGTACTCCGTCTGCTTTGCCTCGCTGAAAACCTTCGGGAAGCTGGGATAGTACTTGGCGTGGGTGTCGAAAACCGGGTTGTCGCAGAGTTTTCCTGAGCCGATATCCTCCCAGTAAACCTTCCGCCAAGATTGTTTATTGCAAATGTTGCTCGTGAGGTACTTCTGCACTTTCCACCCATCCTTCGTGAACGGCCTGTTATGGATGTGGAACTGGTCTTGATCACGCGGGCACTCAGGGTTGGATAGCAGGGCGCAGCCTTTCTTAAGACCACCTCCTTTGCAGCCGCCCTTTCTCGCAGCGTACCAGAGCCAGTCTCATCTCGAAGCCTTTCTCTTGCCTGTCTGAATATCTTCCGATCCTGAAAAATAGATCGCCGGACTTGTGAGCTTTCCATTGGCGAGGCTGCAGTAGGTGTCCTTCCCATATTTCTTGAGGTTCTTTCTCTTGCGGGTTTTTTATCCACACACCGGCGGTAATACCCGCAGCGCTTGTCCTGCTTGTTCTTTCTGTAGTCAACTAAAGTACACGATCTCTCGTAGTCGGAAGAAGCGTTCTGCGTCCCACTGACTTGAGCCTGTAGCTGAAGGATCTGCAACGAGCATCCTCCAGCCCAGCACTCATCATCCTTCAGAGGAAGTACTTCACCGCTCACTGATGCGATCAGCAGGAGCGCGGCAAATCGAAATCCACGGCAGGTGCTCATCGGAACTATGCGGTTACGTAAGTGCAACCTCCTGCTCCTAGTTTTGGCCGCGAATGGCTGAAGTGCGGCCACTGTCACAGCCGATTCTGAGATATCTTCTTTGGCTTCAGTTGAGACATGATTTTTCGCACAATAATTACTAAGAGTAATCCGACCGTGCTATTTGCTTCCACAGTTCCTCCCTTTTGCTTCCGCGGCCAGTCCCGGCCAGTCCTAGCTTCCGCGACATGAGATTCTTACAGTACGTCATTACGCGAGCTTCGCCGAAGTTCTTGGCACAGCACTCCCCGGCATTCACAAAACGCTTCCGCGGACTGGGCTCTACCACATTCGAGGTCCACTATTCTGGAAATCGCTAACTTTTCACCGCAATTGCGAGACGGGGATCTCCTTCTTTGCGAGATGATCCTGGGTCTTCGGTTTAGGGCTGGGGCTCATCTTCAGGCGCATGTTCGAGAATGGCTTGCGTGGCCTTCTTCAACGAGTTTTCTAGAGATCTCAATACCCCTTAATCCCGAAATATGCCTTCAATCATGCGCCGGGCGAAGCGCTGGCTACCAGGGGTCCAGGGAAGGTTTCTCAGGATTTGTCAATCTGAATCCGTAAGGGTCGGCTACCGGCTTTAGGGTGCCATGCTTCAGCTCCTCTTCGGGATCTGTGAATTGGCTGGGGCCAAAACCCGAAACCCCCAAAGTCTGAACCCTAAACCCTTAAACTCCCGGAACCCTTCTGTTGTGTAGTAGCAGTGTGGTGGTGGTGGTGGTGGTGGTAGTGGTAGTGGTAGTGGTAGTGGTAGTGGCAGTGGCAGTGGTAGTGGTAGTGGTAGTGGTAGTGGTAGTCGTAGTAGTAGTAGTTGTAGTAGTAGTTGTAGTAGTAGTTGTAGTAGTAGTAGTAGTAGTAGTAGTAGCAGTAGTAGTAGTAGTAGCAGCAGCAGCAGCAGCAGTGGTAGCAGTAGTCGTCGTCGTCGCCTTCGGCCCCACCCCGAAGCCGCAACCTGCCTCCCTCTCAGCGGCCACGTGGAAGAGAGTTGCAGCGACGGAAGTCTGAGAGCCAAGGCCACGGGCGCCCTTCGGACTTTGTAGATTTGGTGCCCCCAACTCCTCATCCCTGGGTTCCAAATCCCGAAAACCTGATCCCGATTCCTGCGGCTTTGGATTTAGAGCTCTATTGCAGAACCCGACACCTGATCTAAGAAAAGCAGCAGAAGCTTTCAACCTTCAGTCTCTGCTGCAACCCAGGGCCCTTGGGGCTTTGTGTATTCGAGCTTCTTGGGATTGGAGGGTTTTTAGACCTCCGGACTTTTAGGAGTGAGCACCGAGACTGTAGGGCTTCCCGACCCTAAAGAATCCTAGCATGGGGGGGGACTACAAGACTTAGATTCCCAGGGACCTGAATCTTAAAGATGCTGCCTATATACGGCTTGGCAATTCAGAAGCCCGGCCGAGGTCAGTTCAGGGTGGATCGGAGACCTTGGAAACAAAAAAGTGACTTGAACTTGAACGTCCTCTTCATCTTCTTCTGCAGCACCCGAGTTACCGGGAAGGCTTGGACTTAACCCTGGGTGCCCAAAGTCACAGCAACGGTAACTGCGTCAGCCAATCTTACGAGGGATTTAGGGCTTCAAGTCTCACGTCTCAGGGAGTTTCTTGTTCTGAGGACCTGCCCTCAGAGGCTCCGATATCACCTGAAGTCTCAGGGAACTTTATGCAAACGTATGGGAGGATCAAGGAGGATCCAGATTCTGGAATAACCCGCAAGTTTTGCAGGGGCTCCTTGGTTCGTGCCTCGGAAGCCGCGGTGCTAGACGCATGCAACTTGCTTTTTGTTATGTTGGGGGGGGCCGTGCTTGAAGATCTCAATAACCCGCATCGGACCGCGGAAACAGAATGCAAGACTCGAGCTGTTGTTGGAGCATGGGTTTAGCCCAAGCCTGAGACCCAAACATAATACCCAAATGCTTCGCTCTACTCTGAGGTTCAGGGACCTAGGAACCTCCTTTAAAAGTACCCTGCTTTGTCGCCGTCCTCTTCAAGTTTCCGGAGTCCTCTTCTCCCGACAAAACCATAAACCCTGAACTGAGCTGTTCTTGAACGCCCTGTAGAGTTCACAATTTTGGCTCGCTTATTGAAAAGCTACTTACGAGTCGTCAAAGCATGTCCGGGTAAACCCAAATATTCGGAATCCTTCCCAGACCCAGAACACTCTTCACTCTCTCTGCTGAACCCTAAGCCCGGAACCCTGCTTCTTGCCGAAATGTCGTCTGTCTGAGGGTTAGACGGGACAAACTTACGCCCGAGACTGCTGCCAGCCCTTAGAATGCCCTGGGGAAAGGAAGTGGTTGGTAGAAATACATTCGAGCCGCTATGGCAGTAGTAGTATTAGTAGCAGCAGCAGCAGCAGGAGGAGTAGCAGTCGGAGTCGTAGTCGTCGTAGTGGCAGTAGGAGTAGTAGTGGTGGTGGTGGTGGTGGTGGTGGCGGCGGTGGTGGTGGTAGTAGTAGTAGTAGTAGTAGTAGTACTAGTAGTAGTAGTAGTAGTAGTAGTAGCAGCAATAGAAGCAAGTGGTGGTAGTAGTAGGAGGAGTAGTAGTAGTAGTAGTAGTTGTAGTTGTTGTTTTGTTGTTGCTGTTGTTGTTGTTGT